AAGAAGAGAGAGAGAGAGAGAGAGAGAGAGAGAGAGAGAGAGGGGGGGGCAGAAAAGAAGGGGGTGAAAAGGGGTAGAGAACGAGAGAGTAATGCGCGCATTATTTTCACGAACTTGTAACACGCACGCCTCGACGCCCAGAGACATGTTTCGTTACAACATTGCAATACGAGACGATCGTAACGTCGCGATGGGGTGACGCGGATTGGCGGTTAGTACGAGATGTTCCCTTTGGTGTGTCTGCGACTGACACCGGTATCTAGTTGCAGATAGATTTGTATCCTCCATACTCTGTCCCTTATTTCCGATTCACCCTCCGATCGCATTCACTCGCTGTTTCCTATAACGTATTTGTCATATGTCCAATAACGTATTAAAAATAATTTACAATTCATCCTGTTGGAAAATATTTAAAATCATCTTTATGACTAAAAATATCTCGTGTCTCTTCTGATTATTTGTTAGGTAATTCTTAATGGAATATTATTGAGTATCGTGGAATTTTTTTCTTTTGTAGGGAATTTGCATTTGCGTTTAAAAAAAAAAGTTTCTTTATTCTCTTGTGAGATTACTATGTAAGCACTTGTAAAAAAATTAACGCTCAATATATTCAGCATACGTAATTGAATTTAATGCATTATGCATATTTGGATTTGCGCGTTAGAGTTATACGCTTCCCATGCGTTATTACCGTACTTTGTGACCGTTATAAAATAAAGATGCGGCACAACCACTATTAGAAATTCTGTAAATTGAACGAGTCCGCGGCATTTATATGACACCTGTAAGCGAAAAAGTGAGAGCGCCATATGTGGCATCCATAACGCTTGACGTGTTAATCAAGCTCCGAGAAAGCCACTCACAGATAATAACGCCGGTAGGGTCGAGAATTCGTTTTTACATTCGCTTCGCACTTCTATGATACATTGTTCTGTCAGAACCGAGTGGAAAATGATTACGTGAAATGAATCGTAAAATATAAAAGCGCATCGCATGATTTAAAGATCGATCGGCAATATTATTCCGTCAAGATTAAGTAACCATTGTGAGAGATATTAATTTAATACACGCGGAAAACTTATCGCTTATTATATTTGTTCGTCCCGAAAAATAATGGAATTATAATGAGCAAATTCGCGTAATACATCGATAGTTCGATGTGTCAAAAAGCAGATTTAGATCTTGATTTATACCTTCCCCCTTTTCCGTTTTCCGTAATAATCCGCAGGATCACTCGCAGCTTCCACGAGACGGGGCCCTCGACCTTTCACCTTTCGTCTTCGTCGCCTGAATGCGAACCAGTTTTCTCCGCTCTTCTCGCTGCCGTTGTCTCGCTTCTCATATCTTCTTTGTCCTCGTATGGATCCTCTCGAGATTTGATCTTCACTATACTAGCACGAGGAAACGTAGATCGCTATCGACTACCAGTAATGCGCTCTTGTCGTACTTGTCGAGGACGAGGGGATGAGGGAGGGGGGGGGGAGGGGTACGGAAAGAACTCGCGGTCGCACACCGGCTTAAACGGTCGTTTCCGGATTATCACCGTGCTCAAACTGTCAGCAGTCACGCCGGAAATATAAGTTGTGAAAGTAGAATGGCGACATATAGATTTTCAAGCGGGATAACACGTCTATTGCGTCGTATTGATCTCATGTTAATACCACCGGGTGTGGCGTGACGTCCCGTTGCAAATATACATATTTATTGCTGCAAAAAACGGAAAATCACATAGAGATTCACGTTTTGTAAGACTTTTACTGCTACTGGAGGAAGAAAAAAAATCCTCCTATCGAGCCGTTAATTGAGAAATATAAGTATTAAGTTAGAAGATATAAGGTACTCTATATGGACGTTAATTTTCTCTCGCGCTGACATATTATTAAAAGTACGAGAGGCAAGTTGTCAATCCATACTGGAATTTCTAATAACACGATTTTGCCAGTGAGTCAAGACAGTCTTAATATATTCATATATGTCGGTGTGGAAACACATAATTAGCGATTCGATAAAAACGTGACGTCGATTAATATGTATACGATCCGAAACTTTTGTCGACAGGCAACACGAGAGTTGAACATACGACATTTGAATTTAAATAATACTACATAATCATTGCATACGTAAAGGAGTGGACGAAATTAATATCGAGCCGAGTAAGGCGACTTTCCTCGGTTCGGAGAAGTTCGCTCGATACTTTTGGTTGCGTTTGTACTCGATATTATAGCTGGTAGTGAGTGCGTTCGCGGCCTGTAATCATTTCGCCGCCAAGAGCCACCTACCGCATTGGTATCCTTGCCTTCCTCCGTTCTCCATCTCGTTTCGTCCCTCGGCTTCTCTTCTGCTCCTTTCTCTCATGGCTTTCTCTCGTGCCTTTGCGTCTTTCTTCTCTTCAGCACACACCGTGGCTCGCAAAAGCAAGCCTCGCAGCCTAATTGCTCGGTAAACTGCCAAGATTTTGCCGCATCGGGCGTATAACACTGTCTCTTCCTTCCTCAGATTATTTTTGACGATCATAGCCAAAATCATTCGACAGCAAAAAAAAAAGACTATAATTGCATCGTCGGTGACAGACTCGCGTATAAGTTAATTTCATTCAAAACTAGAAAAAGATAAAATTTAAAAAAATACGTAGATAAATACGTTTGATATGCGACCACGGTAGAATACATAAAATTACCAATATATAAAAATAGTTCCAATCTTGATCAAAACACATAATATGCAAATAATCATCTTTCTTCCTGGCTATGCTCTATCAATGAGGCAACCAAAAGAAGTTTGCGATTAGTTACGGACCTGTATCCTATCCTACGAAATGACGTTGCAGCTCCGTGCGGTTTGCATTGCGCCTGCCGATTCTATTATAGCCCAAGTTTCAACAGAAGGCAAATTTTAAAGCATGAGAAGAGGAAAAGAACATGCATGATACAGAACGGAAATCCTCCGACAAATCTCGATTTACCAACTGTTATTCCGGAGACAGTTGTTACATATCTTATGCGACGGAAGTTAAAATCAAAGTTAACCTTTTCGTGATGAAGGATTGAAAAATCCGCGCTATTGTCCGGATCCTTTTATTGTCCTTCTCGATTTTTCGTCCAAAATGACGTAAGTTCGTAATCTTATCTTCATCGGAAACGACGCGAGGTCGCGGCGTGTTCCGAATATCTTCGCCATGCGCCGCGATATCGACCATTTACAGGATAAATAACAATCAATATCTGTCCGGTGTGCGCAGCGCAGGACGCGTCTTATATGGTGACATCAGGCGCTTTTTTGCCACGGCCATAAATCGCGGCCTATGATGGGCTACATGTGTCGACGGCACGCCACGGTTTCTTGCGAAAACGTGAGTCGCGACCCAATGGGCTCCACGTGATTTTTACATCTTGTTTGCTTCCATGGAGCCCCCGCTCTCGTTCCCGCGGGTCTATATGGCGCTCCGTGTTA